AGCTATGGAAGAAGAGAAACAGAGAAGCTTAAGTAGACAAGACTCGATGCAGAAAGAAGTAGAAGTTATTGTCGAGAAGAAGATCGAGGAGAAGGAGAAGAAAGAGAGCAAGAAGGAGAAGAAAGAGAGTAAGAAAGAGAAGAAAGAAGAGAAGAAAGAAGAGAAAGAGAAGAAAGAACATAAAGAACAGAACATCGATAAGAAGATGATCGGTAAGACTTGTAGTTTCAGTATCATGAAGCTAGCTCATAACCATAACCATAATCATAAGCACAAGGAGACAACAGTAGAAGAAGAGACAAAAGACAACACTGATGATAGTGGTGAAGGAAACTCACCAGCTTCGGATTTGTATCTATTCAAAGGTTCGATTTTCGATGTAGCGGAGACACCACACGCAGGAACAACACAAACACATCACAAAAGAAGATCTTCTTGTACGTTTTTGGAAGAAGTAGTGACTATTAATCCAGAGGATTTGGAGAGTTTGGAAGGTAATCATTTAGAAGAAGGTGAGTTAAACGATAAAGGAGCCGTAGCAGCGAGGAAGAAGAAAGCATTTATACGTAGATTTGGTGATCTTCTTGTTAGAAGGAAAAGTTTGAGTTTTTCACATAAGAAAGAGTCTTCTACTGATTCACAAGATAAGCAACATCAACCGCAAACGCCAACGTCTCCTTCGCCGCCTCAACCGCCACTTTCTCCTGAGCCTTGAAGAACAAATTTGTGTTACTACTACACCATTGTTGTGTGTTTCTTTTACAGCTTTTGAGTTTTGCAGGATCATCTTTTTTTGTTTGTACATAAAGAAACCTTAATGAGTTTTGTAATAAGGATTTTGATCATTTTAAATCTTCGCAATCCGGTTCTCTGTTTCTCTGGTTTGATTTGAATTTATGATTTCCGGTTTGTTGAATTGCGTGGGCTCTGACCATATGGCTTTATCGAATCATATAATTTGAGGCCTTACTTGGCCCAATAATTTTGAATTTTATAAATCTTAATTTGTTTTTTAAATATTTCGAAACACATAAGAAAATACTCTACTTTATTTGAATAAAGAAAGTGAGATTCAATTTGTTTTGCTATGAACAACTAAAATATAAAATAAGAATTCATTTTAAAATTTTTTTGTCAATATCACTCTCAAATCCTATATAGTGCGAATTCTTTTATTGCCCTTTTTAAAAGCTTTTCCCCTTATGTTTTGTGGTTTCTAGCTTTATTTTCTATTTGTGCTATTAAATTTGACATAATGTATTTGCATATTTGTGGGAAAAGTATGTAAAGAAAGATTCCCACAAATTTTTTTAAAATTAAATTTGGGAAATCATAATGTTTCAAAAGTCTTTCAAAATGCATAATAGACTTCTAATTATAGCAAACAATGTAGGGACCATTCTGCTTTATTTATCACCCAACCACTCAACGGTGATGGGCTTTACATCACGGCCCAATCCTCACCTTCTACGTAACCTTTTTCATTACGCCTGATGCGCAACCACCACTTCCATTTGGCATGTAGTTTCGTCACTTGCTTCGAGTTGCCACGTGTACGGATACCAGGTGGCCACGTACACCATTTTTGGTTTGTTAATTCGCTTTCTCAAGGCGTTGACTTCTTGACCATGTCTTCCATAAGTTCGTGATGTAAGTATTTAGGTTTTTTATACACTTTTGTCC